GTCGAAAAGCTTCGCCTTCGGATTGATAAAGATTGAACTATTAAACCTGTTTGGCATAGAATGTTTTATAAATAGGAAGACATGCATTAATATGTGCATATAAGAACACCTACTTTTGAGGCACCCTGCATTTAAGTGCTGTGGAAAATTGTCACCGCGCCTCCGAATCAAAAGAAATTGTAGCTATTGTTTGTATTGTATTGTTTTATTGTTTCTCAACAAAAGTATAAAAAAGGAAATTAATGTTTTTATTGAAAAGCTTAAACCACGTAAATGTAATTGCCATGTACGCAAAGAAAATTATTAGAGATCAAGGTGATGAAATGAATCACTGTGTGATGCAGACGCTTGACTTTCTGACTTTCTCATTCCCAACACTGGACTTCCGACTCTGGTAGCCGTTTCGGTTCTGGTTTAGTGCATAATCGTATCCAACGTCAAATGCTTCTTCAAACACCTCATCAAGCCCCTCCTAAAACTTCTTTCATGGTCTGTTCTACTTTAGAGGGAAGACCCTATAACTCACTCCGGTAACTTCGGAGCATTCAAGGTATTTGCTGGCACCGATTCGTTTGGCGAAAGACTCGGCTTGTTGCAAGGACATCGGATGATAGTTTGTTCCATGCTCCTTGCTATACTCTATGGGAGACAGAAGACGTTTCTCTATTTGTGTGCCCACGAGTACAAAAGGAACAGAGCGGATCCGATCAATTACGGTATCCAGGATCTGGAAAGAGGCTTAGTTGAAGCAACAATTAAGAAAATTATCAGCAGAGATGGGTACAAATTAAGAAGAGAAAGTGGAAGCTTACACAGCTTGATATGCGACAACGGTAGCATATCGCATTCATTAAAATTTTGATTTTCAAACAACCTTTAACTTAGTACATACTTTGGACGCGCTATAGAGCAATAGATTATCTCGAATGACATAGGCTACTGCATAACAAAGGTGCAGTACCCTTGGGTGCAAACGCGGCTTTATTAGCCGCAGAGCGCATGAGGCGCA